ATAGCTAAACCTAATTAATCTCATATCACTGTACAAGGAAACAATGCTTGCAAAGGCATTCTAAAATCCATCTGTGCCTTTGCTAATACAGTTAGCATACATGTCCTACTCGAGAAGCAATTGTATAAAGACAATCTTCGACGAAATATCATGAACACAACTCCGCGGTTTCGTAATAGGTGAATGCTAATCAGTCGTTCACCTAACGTTTCCTGAATACTGGGGGTCAAACGGAAACTGGTCTAAACCACCATCTGGTATTTGGACAAACTTCTGTTCAAACCTCACAAAAATTATGAAAGATGTCAGTTTTGAGTAAATATGAATCAGTAACCGTGCTAGATGAACTTGTTATAGGAGCTCAGGTGCCGAGCTCATCTTCACTGGCGCGTTCAAATATGCATGATCCAACTCGTGCAGCAAGCATAGGACAGCAAATCGATTAGATTTTTCAGATTCCAAGATGCAGATATTTGAAGGAGACAGAGACATGTACTCCATCGTATAGGGCAATAGCGTTCTTTATAGCACTTTGTACAACAGGCATCAATTGCTAGTGATCACAGATTAAGCTAAAAACAAGCAAGCTAACAACATAAGGCAATGCTTTTCATGTGTAAATCAAAGAGTGAATAACTTAACATGCATAATGCTAAGTGATAGACTGACTCTCCTAATGTTCACACAGCTAATCTGCTTGCAGAGGTATCCTTACAAAGAAGCTTAAAACTACAAGTATACCAGAAATCTGTATTATGCCAAACATAACCTTCAATATGACACCTACTCTGGATGACTGGATCACAACATGCTATGGGATTAGAAGCTAAAGCTCAGGTGAACTTGAAAACACGTACACATGACATTAAGTTGGGCTTGAAGCTTCAGGTAGCTGGATATTTTCCAGAAAAGCTGGGCAGTGGGTCTCTCCAATGACAGGCAGCAAACATGCAGGAAAGTTTTAAGCCAGGAAATCCTTCTCAAGGGCTCTTCTTGTCATCCATATGGGTGATATCGTCCATATCCACCAGTGAAGCTCCCCCTATTTGTGTCAGGTGTGCTAGCAGATCCATAACTACCTAGCGTAGGATCATATGCCCCACCGTAGGCAGTGCCACTAAAGCCAGAACTACCAGGGCCACCAAAGCTCTCGTCGGCATCACCACCAAACCCAGAATTACCAGGGGCACTGAAGCTCTCATCACCGCCACCGCGTCTATAGCCACTTAAGTCAGCACCAGCATAAGCTCCACCAAATCCTCCTCCATATAACCCAAAGCGACCGGGATAACCAAACGAAGACGCGGCTCCGTAGCCCCCTAATCCTGCATAGTAACGACCATATGCACCACCAAAATCACCTATCCCACCATAGTTGCCGAGCCTACCACCGAAACCTGCATCGCTCCTATAAGGACCAAATCCACCAGCCCTGTAGTTTCCATACGCACTCTCCATTCCACCATAGTTGTCAGCAGAAGGGTGGTCCCTAGAGCCACTATCATATGCTGACCTAGCATTTCTACCATGCACTGGTGGTGGTGGTGGTGGATTGGAGGATTTCTTTGGTTCTGCTTTCTTGATCTCCACCTACAAACAAAGCAAATGACCTAAGCCCTGTCAAATAACCTATGGGGCCTTTCTATCAATTTAAGCATGATGTTCCATGAAATTAGCACAACTGGTAACTTGGAATAGAAGAATGCATTTTCCTTTTGTTGACATTACTTTACATATTTTACACCATAGGTACACAATGGAGGGGATAACCATTTGTGTCATTTCTATAATGAACTGCAGACTCACCTTTGAACCAGCAAGGTCAATCATATTTCCATTTGCTAACAAATCATCTACAACTTGCTCAGAAGCAAAAACTATAAATCCAAAGCCTCGAGAACGTTTGGTTTCATGATCAAACATAATCTGGTGGTCTACCACAGTCCCATATCTTGAAAAGAAACTCTTGAAATCGTCTGATCAAGGTTCACAAATAGAACAATCATCAGGGCAAAATCAATGTAAAACAAAGCTGATCCATCATATGCCATACTGATATTACCTTCTGTTAGTGTTGAGGGAAGCCCACCAACAAATATCTTTTTAGTCTTGAAATCCTTAGAGCTAGACTGCACTGAACCTTTTGGTATGGTTCTCTTAATTTCAACCTGCGGAGTAAGTGAAAGGAAGTACTACTAAGTAATTTTCAGCTGTGAACATGTGGGGAATGCAAAGATAAATGGGTGATGCATGAGGTATGGCACAAATGAAACTTCAGATGGATAAATGAGGAATGCGAAATCACATCTGGAATAGCTACATTAAGTAACATGAGCAACTTAACAGACTAGTATCCTAAATTGAATCAGAAACACCAATGGTAGTTCGCGAATCTAGCACAGCGAGACAATAGACATTGACATGCCAATTGCTTGAACTAACAAAGCAAACAGACATATAGTCACCAAAGCAACACTATTCTTTGTTTAAAATGCACTCATAAATTGATTGATAACAAAAAAAAAAATTACACCTAGAAGTGACAAGTCCTAGTAGGCATATAAATTGAAAACCTATCCATTTATATCACAAGGTGTAATTCATATTTTAACAAAGATCAATATGATAAAACAAATGGTTTTATATCCTTATCACACAAAAAACCTGATTACCTAATGTGCATGTATCGACAAAACAAGTATAAGAACTAAAGCGAAGAATTAACAAAATAGAGCAATTTAACTCCTAAGTGATGATACAGACTTGCTGAGAAACAAAACTTACTTGCTTTCCATTGATAACATGTTTGTCCTCTATCACTTTATCAACAACAGCAGGGTTAGAGTACGTAATGAAGCCAAAACCCCGTGGCTGAGATGTGTACCTATCCTTCATTATCACTGAATCAACTATTTCTCCATACTGTCCAAAATGCCTCACAAATGTAGCTGTAGCAGGAAACAGCAGCACAAATCAGTAGAATGAAGACAGAGCTAATTCACTAGTAGCTCCACACATCAGATCAGATTGATGAATAAATGAAATATAGAAAAAAAAGGAAAACAGCACAAATGCCAGAATAATTACTTTCGCAGTGCTGTATCATGCCCTGCTCTATAAACTACTTGTATCCTCATTATGTAAAACTGGCATCTCACTAATTGCAACACTAGTGAGCAGATTTATTGACAAAGATTAGATTTTTTTTTAAAAAAAAAACTTGTATCTTCCTATAAATTAACATGTTTTTCGTTGGATGTCACCAGTTCATATAGCTAGGCTTTGCTCATTGCAATTATTGGCAAGGGAACATAATATGGGCACACGAAGATCTTAATCAGGCATATAATTGCAGATTGTACTAAAAGTGCCTGTATAGCAACTAAAACAGATTAATTATCACATAACAGAAGCATCACAATTCTTGTTGTGCAGGTGCATTGCACAACTCTTTATAAGTCAGAACACACAAAAACATCAGTGTAAATTTTCACGCAATTAACAAAATATATGACGAGGCACAGTACCGCCACAGGAGTGCAGTAAAAAGCGCCATACATCCAGAAATCAAGTGAATAACATACTGTCCACCACGCCCCGCCCCATCCCACCCCACGTCCCAACCTCAACCCCCTTCCCCACCCCCCAAAAATACTTTAATTGTACAACAGAATCGCGATCTCATCTTCCAATCCGCAGAAATCAGTACAAATATCGAACGCGACAAGCACAAAACGGAGGAATCGATCAACCTACCATCCGTGGTGTCCCGTGGGAGCCCTCCGACAAAGATTTTCCTGAAAATCCCAAAATCAAAGGCCAACCAATCAGACCGCTTAATCGAGATCCAAGAGAGAGGGGGCGCCAGGAATTCATACCCCGGATTGCCGCTGCCGCCGCCGCCGCCACCACCACCACCACCGCGCCCCCTTGACCTCGCCTCCGCCTTCCCCATCGCCTCGCTAGGGTTGCGTACGTGCTTCGGAGTTGGACGCCGCGGTTCCTCTCGCACAACCGTGTGCGCTCGCGTCTCGCTCGATGATTGTGTCGATGGGGCGCGTGCGGCGGTGCCTCGTGCACCCTTCTATGGCCTGGCCCAATTGTAGCTTTAGGCCCGTGCACGCTTTCTGAACCGCTACCCCACGGCCCACGGCCCACGGCCCGCGAGAGTTCACTTCGCAACCGCAACGACCGCCTTGCAAATTTGCCCCGCTGCTGCAAGCCTCCCTCACCGGGAGATACGGGGGCCTCCGCCATCCCCGCCCCTAGCCGCCTCCGCCTCGCCGTCTCCTCGCCGCAGCCGCACGGCTCCACCAGGAGATAGGGGGGCCTCCGCCGTCCGCAAACTCGAGGTGACGACGCCTGCCCGTTTCCGTTCCCTCTGACCCCCATTTCTCCACGCATTGGTGTGTTGCGGTCCCGTGCCGTGCGTTTGGGGATTCGCTGCTCCGTGTATCGGGTTAGGGCTCGTTAGGCTTCTCACCGGGCGTGGGTTAGTTTAGTGGTGATACGGGGCCGTGGCAGGCGGTCAGGTGGGTGTGAGATGTGCGATTTGATCGAGCCAGGGTTGTGCTTAGGGCTGGCCAAAATGTAGCGGGATTTGAGTTTCTGGGAGTGTATTGCGTGCGGGAGGTTTTCAGGTTGTGCCCTGATTGATGCGTGCATTGTGTGGTGTGAAATGCCGAAAGTTCACTGGATTCTTATAGAATTATTATGAAAGTTCACCGGATGGATCAGGCGCTGCAGAACACAGACGTGCACAGCAGAGTGGGGTGGGTCTGTATGATATCATATATAAGAATGTTGCAACTGTGAACAGTGAATTCCTTACTCACCCCATGGTTGATTTTTCTTCTTGTTCGTTGTGCTGAGAATCATGCCATGTTTGATTTTTTGCAGAATCTCCAGCCGATGTTATCTTTGATCTGATGTTTGGAGTCTGAATTGAGCTGTTCCTCTCCATCGCCTGGATCGTGAAACCCGACAGCAACCAGCCAAGGATGCAGCTGCGGTCGGGCCGCCTCCTACCCCCGTCGTTGGCACCTCCTCAAGGAGGCACGCGCAGTCCTGCGTGCTGTCCTGAGGACCGGCTCAGCGGACTACCAGACGATCTGCTCATCTTGGTGCTCGTGAGGCTTCAATGTGCCTGTGAAGCAGCACGCAAGAGCGTGCTCTCCCGCCGCTGGGCCGGTCTCTGGAAGCAGCTCCCGGAGCTCACCTTCGATGGTGTCGACGGTGACTCTGTCAAGGCTGCTCTTGCCTGTGTCACACGCCCCACGATTGAGCTCCTCGACATCCGTTTGAAGGCCATGGTGGCTCCTGGGGATGTCTCTTCTCTTCTCGGTGCTGCCGCACCGCTGGCACCCGACAAGCTCATTGTTACTTTGGAAAAGTCTATAAACCCCTTTGAGGCCGACGAGCTGCCCTGCTTATCCCGTACCACCTCACTGCAGCTTACCGCTCAGGATCTCTACGTCGCACCGCCACTGTTTGGCGAGTTCACGTCACTCAAGAGTCTCTTCCTACACTCATGCCGCATTGACCTTGGTGCCCTGCTTCCCGTCTGCCCGTGCCTAAGCATTCTCAAGATCAGCGACTACTGGGGGGGTGACGCCATCACAGTTCACTCTTCTTCGCTTGAGGAGCTCAGCATGGACATCACTAGTTGTGATGCCTATGATGACGGTTGTATCGACATCGTGGCCCCAGTGCTTAAGAAGGTCAAAGTGGAGGCTGGCCGGGCCAACATACTCAGAGTGTCGTTCTTGGCCCCAGTGGTGGAGGAACTTTGCTGGTCGCTCAAGTACAACTCCCTCCACCTCTACTCTGATTTTTTCATGGTTACTGGTGAGTGGTGCCTTGGTGGCATTGGAGTGCGGTTTGGAGGAAAGCAGCTACCTCACATCAACATCCTACGCCTTGATATCTATTGCACCTGTGTTCGTATTCTCACTTGGTTTTCAACTATTTGCTTACTTCCTTACTATGTGAGATGTTGATGTAATGAATTCGCAGTTTCTGATGTCCCTATTCCCTCAGCTGATGGATGTGGAAGGAGATGGTGAAAGACAAAGCATAACAGAAGCTATAGCTCGACTTCCGGTGACCAACTTCTCTGTTTTGGAGCTGTATATCTCGGCTAAGGCACATGTTATTGGACCACTGGTGTCGTGTCTTCTTCAGATTTTACCAGCTACACAAAAGCTTAAGCTGGTCATGGTTTGTCAAAGTGAGGTAACATATCCACTCAATCTCAGTATGTGCTACTCCTTAGTCTTTTCCACTGTCCATTAGCTTCATGTTTATATGCTCAATCAGGTTCAGTGGATGTGGATGGATCTGTTAAGCTGCTAACAAAACAACTGATTTCCATATAATTATTCAAACAGTAAACATTGACTAGCCTTAGAATCTCGGCTGGCCAGTTCATCATTCTAGCATCAAATGTTGCCCATAGTAGAAAAAGCATCGATGACTATGGACATACATACATGTGTTTAGACACCATATGCTATTGCGTAACTACCGGATACCTAGGATGGTATGGTTACATACTACTTTTGACTTTTGGGAAGGCCATATGTGTACTTCTCTTCAAAAAAGAAAAAGGAGTGCACGTGCATGCTTTTTGACTAGTATATGTATATGTATTTTTTGGACAAGGGATTCTGTATACATGCTTTTTAGATGGGCATATAAATACATATTAGTTCCAAAGAAGAGTATACATGTATACTTAACTTTGAGACAGAGTATGTATACTGTAAACATAAAATTTTCAAAAGGGAGAATGTATATATTACCTTTTTTCTGACCACACATATTGTGTTTCCTAAGAAGGTTGCAAAGGGTACAGGTAGGTTGCAAGGTGAAGGATACTTATATATGTTAAAAAATATCCTCATACTAATCACATGCCAATTGTACCTGAAGATTAAATTAACAAGTACCAGGGAAGATTATGAATGTTGTACCCACAAATTGAACCATGAACATCAGAACATGAGAGAGAAGGCAGCATACCTTACCTTTGAAACTGCAACTTTTTTTTCTTTTTTTTGCTGCTATTGTTTCCTGTTATGTTTCTTCAGGAAGCTTCTTGCCCGTATGAACAATCTGAGAGTTGGAGAAGTGACAACATCTCGCTGACAGATCTGGAGGTGGTGGAGATTATAGGCTTTGCTGGAGAAGACCATGAACTTGATCTCATGGAATTTATATTCAGATGTGCGCCAGCACTTGGAACGATGTCTGTGACGTTCAGTGAGCACCTATCTAGTGAAATGGTGGAGGAAATCTTCAGCATCTCAATTCGCTATCCATCTGTAGAGTTCAAAATTTATGTCGAAGATGATTCCCAGGATGAAGATGATTCCCAGGGTGAAGATTATTCCCAGGATGAATGAGATGCAAGAACACTAACTAGAAAGATGTTTCATGTGTTGGATAGGTTTGGAATTCTTTATTGTTCGTATCAGGGCCTCTGTTAATGGCTATAATATAATGAAAATGAACCTGCAGTCGAGTTCCTTATTCCCATTATCAGTCAAAACTGGATATGAGTGCTCAGTTTATAAGAAAAGTATCTGTTCCAAAATGGTATCTGACTCCATTACCTGGTCGTTGTACTTGTCGCATTGTCAGGAGGAAATTAATTTTGTTTCATGCTCAGTTGTTTTGCTGGTTTCTTTCCCATTTTCTTGTTGTCCTTACTCTTACCATCTTCAGTTTGTAAACAAATCCCAACTTCTTTGAGCTTCTGAAGAGAATAAACAGTGATGGGATCTCCTCACTAGGAAACATTATAGTCTATATGGTTTAGTTTCTGAAGCCATATCAAGTGATCCAGTCCTATTTGATCTTGTGGGGGTTGCACTGTTATCTGCAGTCCTGTTGAAACATGGTTGTGTATTTTGTGATTTCTCCGATTTCTTTGGTGCTTGCAGTTTTAAACCAAACCACTATGTTATACCATTGTTGCTATCTTTTTAATGGGATTCTTTGGTGCTTGCAGTTTTGAACCAAATCACTATGTTATACCTTTGTAACTTTGTTACTATCTTTTTAATAGGAAATCATTATATACACGAAAACCATGGTTTCAGATTCTTGCATGGTTGGACCTCGGTGACCGAAAGCAACCTCCTTTCTCGTGTGGCGTTGAGACGGGTAACAACCTCCATTGCAATATCTAGTTGAATCTCATGCGTTGCAAGATATGGCTCGAGGCTCGACCAGTGAGTGGCCAGTCGCTAGCGACCTTGCCAGTGAAGAGGGAGAGGTCACCACCATTGATCCGGCCGGCGGGTTAGTAGACCCATCATCTATGTGCCCTCACCCCTGGGCAAGCACAGATCAGACTGCATTGCATCCCGGACGCAATGGTTGCCGATACTGGCCAGGAAGCCCGACGCTGGACCAAATGGCCCAGGTAGGAAGGGGATTGGGCTCTAAAATTTAAAACGACAATCATATGTAAATTCTACGACCCCAAGCAGGTGGCTCCGAAGATTACTACAAAAGCACGCTAGAGAGTGCTTAGAGCCATCGAGCTAAACACATTCTTAGCAAGATTTCACACATCCTCTGCACTCTATCATGTAATTCAAGTTGTCATTCAACATATGAGCTTGCACAAAACAAGCTAGGCATGAGCTAAACAAGAAGTAATGCAAGAACAAGAGAAAGATAAAGAGACAGACAGATTTTCCCCTATTGACACAACCCCTAATCCACATTGGAGCACTAAAGATTCAACAAGACTTGGTTTAGCTCCTCTCCAGTAATGAATACCCATTCTCCCACTCTGAAATGGCGGATTTCATACCATGAACACCTTTTAGAGCCTCATCAAGGAAGTTCACCAAGTTCCCCATCAGGCCTTCTAGGTGATGACAATCACCAAAAGTAACAAGTTCTCAACAACAACTTGATAGAATCCAACAAACAACACTGGTATCACTCAAGGCTAACTCTTAATCATCAATTGTTGGCTTTGATGGATCTCCCACTCTTCATAGATTCCCTCTATAGGTGTGTCGGCAATATGCCAATATGTGTGGAAAAATAGCTCCAATTCAAATAGGGGTTATACTTATAGGCCGCATTTGGATCGGAGGATTGTCGAAGGAATATAGTAGGAATCGTAAAATGGAGGAAAGGAAACTACAATGAGCGTTTGGATTGGAGGAAGCGACGGTTCATTTTCTTGGGAATGCTGTAGGTAGATTCTCATTTCATGGGAACTGAAAAATCTAGTTTGATCTCTTGGTTTCTCTTCGTCTCGCGTAAGTTCGAGGTAAAGAGCGAAAAGTAGTCAAGCAGCCAGCACAAAGTAGGAAAACTTGCCCATCTATCTCTGTCGTAGGCTCATAGCCCCATGGCCATTGTTGTTCGAGGCCACACTGTTGTTGCCGTGCCCCACTAGCACTAGGTCACCTGCTCACCCATCAAGGTTTTGAGTGATGCGGGGTGCACGGTCATTTACTTTCGTTGTTTTGGGACCCACCACGGTTTTGATAAAGTTGCTAACCCAGAGTGAATATTAAGTCTACTTATTACTAGTATAATCTTTCGGTAGGTGCTTCTAATATTTTCTTTATCATTCTCAATTTTCAAATTCCTATGTTCAAAATTCATGTGTTCCAAACACCTCTCTCTGTTACTTTCGTGTGTTCTTCCAATCGTTTGTTTTCACACTCTATTCCTATCTCTTTCCTCTATTTCCTATCATTCATGTATTTTCAAATCCTCTCTTCCAAACAGACCCATATATTAGGTGAAGAGGCTGTCAGCTGTTGGAAAAAGCTGATAGACACATGCACCACCGGATGATCTGTTGACCTGTCTGCCTTCACCAGATCATATGGTGACACGGTGCTATAATACTTTCCCAATGGTTAGAAGCGAATATATCAGAATATTCGCCTCCATATGATACATCTAGGAATCACGAAGTCTCCACTGATCATACGACACAGTACAAAGACTTGGCCAACTTATCATGAAGTGAAGTTTAGTCCACAAGATGATCCTCTGAGGAGTCACGAAGTCTCCTCTAGATCATACGACGCACACCAATACTCTGGCCAACTTGTCAGAGTCAAGTTGGTCATTATTTATTGGACAATCTATTGGGAGCCACAAAGTCTCACCCTGATCCTACGGTGCACGTAAGTGGGTTGGCCACTTGGCCAAAGTCAAGGACCAGGCTTTACTCGATCATACACTGTGACCACTAATAGTACCTATTGCCAGTGATCCGTTAGGTGTTGCCCCTATCATCCAATGCACATTCTAGTGCATTTTCTTAGCACGTTTCAACTCTAACCTCATTCAATTTAATTTTTTTTTAGTTCCTTGACTTGAAACATATCCAATTAGGCCACTTTTTTGCCTTGGACTTGATGAGAGTAAGCTTCTTGAGCATACCAAATGCTCTCGAACTCACTTGAGATGCATGCCTTGGAACCCCCCTAATAATATGACTAAAGGAAAATAAATTCATAATACATTGTGCGTCAAAGTGTTCCCGAACATCAAACTTATACTTGAACATATAGATCCTTAGTCTTTATGAATATTCTTTGCACATGTCATGGTAGAGGACAAGATGTGGAGCAACATGGGAGGACGCGGAGGGGCCGAGGCTTTGGTTGGCAGCGGAAAACCCCCAAGGTGGGTCGTTCCTTGCATTGCTTGTTGGGACTTCACATCCGTAACGGGGCATTAAACTAATAGAAATAAATCAAACCTTGCTCATTACTCCCTCCATCCCAAACTATAAGTCATTCCAACAATTTTTTGGAGTGTTAAAGTATCTCAAATTTGACCAAAATAATAGCATTTATGATGCCAACTAAATATCATTGAATTATTCATTAATTATATTTCCATAATATACCTATTTAATGGCATAATTTTTGTAGTTCTCTCTATTGCTCAAACTTGAGATGCTTTATCTCTTAAAATAGAATAACTTGTAATTTAGAACAGATGAGTAGATATATGCGTGCACAATCATTGGCCCCGTTTGCTTCGCTGAAAAAACAAGCCAAAACACTGTGATTTGTTGTGAGAGAAAAATATTGTTCCGGCTAAAAAAACAAGCTGAAAAAGACGGATTATAAGAGAAGCGAACAGGGCCATTGTGCAAGGTTTTTTTTTTAATCATTGTGCGCTTTGGCCATGAATCGCGATGGATGGATGTGGGTCAAACACATAGATCCACCAATCACATGTCGGCGCTGCACACTAATCACGCCTCCTTGACCGGCAGAGGAAGCTTCCTTCAAGTAGTTGATACGGAGTACATCATTCAGTTCGCAACACATATAAACTAACACAGAACTGGAAGTGAGACGTGACTTGAGTAAATAATCCAGCTATATATATACATGTCAATTGTCAAAGGAGTACCAACGAGGAAACCGAAATGTCATTTGACAAATGCATGAAAATCGGAAAAGGGCATCATTTTTTCTTGACAACACAAATGTTTGTGCTGGTAGAATTTACTAGTTTACTCGACTTTTTTGATTTATAAAATTTGCTATGTATCTAAACATTAAAGTAAATTTTTTTGACAACTTTGTTATCTTATTGTCGAATTTTCATTTAATTTTACCGTGGCAGCAAAAGTAACTGATTTTTTTGCCAGCTTTTGCTCTTAGCACCAGCAGTATAAGGGGCAAAAGTGCTAGCCGTGTTTCGCTTGTCTTATGAGCCGTATATTTTCAGCGAAAGAATAATGTTTTTCTCTAACAACAACCAAACCCAGGAATCATCCGAATGTGTTGTCAAAAAAAAAAAAGGAATCATATGTTACCTGAATTTACATCGAACCAAAAAAAAAAGTCACCTGTTAACGCTACTATAGTAGTACCCAAAATCATCGAAACATGCCAAGTTTTTCACACCTGAAGGTTTGGCATTTGCAGTAATCGGGCAAACACAGCTTTCCGATAGCCGTCAGTTCGTTGCAGAAAACCTGACGAATTTCTCCAAAAGTCCCGCGGTTTCAAAAGGCAGGCGATGGCGACCCCAACCGCGGGGAAGGGCCGACACGAGACAAGATCCGACATCCGAGAGGGGGAGAAGGGGAGAGGAGACAGCCCGTGGCGCCGAATCGAATCAGGGAAAGCGAAGGGCCCCGCTAGTCTAGTCAAGTACGCATCCCTAGCACGGCGCCTTCCCCTTCCTCGCTCCGTTCGTGTGTGTGTCCGTTGACGAAATCCCAAATCCATGTGGGAGGTTTTGACTTGATCCAACCAAGAACGCGCGTTTCAGCCGTAAAATACTCGTACCGGTTTCCAAGTCCGGTCGCGGCTTGCTCTCTCTTCCGTCCGTCATTTGCTTTCCTGTTCCTGCCATTCGCGTGTGCCTCTGCTTACCCATTCTTGCTTCCGTCGTCTTTTCTGCGTGTAAATCTGATCTGCTTGTGTCTCCTCATCACTGGGGATTCTTTACTTCAAGTTGGATTTGGAAATGTCAAGGGAAGGAGCGATATTTGATCTGACTTGCTGAGAGTTCTTGCTGCTGCTTTGGTGCTTGCTGGGACTGGGCGGCGGATTGGAGATCGGCCACTGTCTTGCCGGTTTCTTTGGGGGTAGGCCGGGTAGCCACTGTCCTTGTGAATTCTGATGCGAAGTTTCGCTCAGGATCGGGAAAGGAGTGATCTTTGATCGGTTTCTACGCTTCTGTTGGTGATTCCTCTTCTTCTCAACTTGGGGATTTCTGCCAAGGGGAGTTTCCTAACTGGTTTGGGTTCAGTTGAGCAATAGAGATGAGGTTGACTATTCGTGTGATCGAGGCCCGCAACCTGCGGGCCATGGATTCCAACGGTTTCAGTGATCCGTATGTGAAGCTGCATCTTGGGAAGCAGCGATTCAAGACCAAGGTGATCAAGATGAACCTGAACCCGACTTGGGATCAGGAGTTCAGCTTCCTTGTTGGCGATGTCAAAGATGTGCTCAAGCTTGATGTCTATGACGAGGACATCCTCCAGATGGATGACTTCCTGGGCCAGATAAGGGTGCCATTGGAGGATGTGCTGGCTGCCGATGACTTGTCGCTCGGTACCCGGTGGTACCAACTTCTTCCCAAGGGCAAAACCAACAAGATGGTCGATTGTGGTAATGATAGACATTCATCTAGTTTTGTTGCTCATTTTTGTTTATTATGTTGCCATGCATCTTTCTTTGTTCATACGAATTCACTGTTTGACTTTCTGAGTCTTCATCATTTTGCTGGCTACCTAGTACAACTTGCTGTGAAGTACAGTAAGATATAGCACATAAATTATAGCTGATGTTGTTATTCAGGAAAAGTGAGCATCACTTCGTTTTTTTCAATTTTGTTTTCACCTTGCAGGGGAAATCTGTGTCTCAATATCGTTAGAATCATCTGGAGCCTCGCAATCATGGTCTGAGGACCTTGGAGCCGAAGTAACTGATATACAGAGAGACTATTCATTGTCAAGCCAAAGCACGGCCCCATCTATTGCATTTGCTTATCGAGAAACTGAAACTTGTAAAGAAGACGATGAATGTTCCGTTAGATCTGAAATCCCTGCAGAGGATAGAAGTAGTAAAGTTACTGATAGAAATCAAGCTGCTGCAGAGGACAAGCCAAATGGGAATTCTAGTGCAGCTTTGAATGGAATTGAAACGTCTAGTGGTAAAACAGATAAGTCTGATAAGCTATCATTTGTTGATCGTGTCTGCCAAATATTTGCTAAAAAAAATGGCGATACGGTGCCAACCTCCTCTGGAAGCTCTGAGGCTTTAGAAGAAGTTCAAGAGGAAGCAAGTGGATGTGAGCTTTCAGTGAGTCAAACTGATAATGTGTGCCCAGAGACTCCATTCAGTGAACTACTGAAATCTCTTGAATCACGACATGAAGGAGTCGAGATGCCTGTAAATCTACAAGGAATTCTTGTTAATCAGTCGTATCTTGCCTCACCTAGTGATCTGAATAACCTTCTCTTCTCACCAGATTCAGATTTTAAACAAACAATGGTTGAGCTTCAAGGCTGTACTGATTTCAAAACTGAACCCTGGAGGCTTGAGAACGATGGGGAGTCCTTGAAGAGAGTGGTAACATACACAACTGCACCATCAAAATTGGTTAAAGCCGTTCGAGCAACAGAGGAGCAATCTTATTTGAAGGCTGATGGAAAAGAGTTTGCAGTTTTATTGAGTGTGAGCACTCCTGATGTTCCCTGTGGTACTTATTTTCGGACGGAAATTCTTTTCCGTATCATGCCAGGTCCTGAACTTGATTCACAGCAACAGACATCACATTTGGTAGTATCTTGGCGCATGAATTTTCTTCAGAGTACTATGATGAAAAGTATGATAGAAAATGGAGCTAGGCAGGGCTTGGAGCAAAACTTTGCACAGTTTTCGGATTTACTATCACAAAAGATCAAGCCTATTGACGTAGAAGGTTCTGGGTCTGACAAGGAACAGGTCTTGGCCTCTTTGCAAGGTGGCAAGGAATCTGATTGGAAGATAGCATTTCTGTACTTCTGCAACTTTGGTGTCTTATCCTCCCTTTTTGTGTCTCTTTACATTATTCTGCATGTTCTACGAGTGAATCCAAGTGCTGTTCAAGGCCTTGAGTTCCCAGGATTAGATCTGCCAGATTCGTTCAGTGAAATTATCATGGGTGGGCTGTTGTTTCTTCAAGTACAGCGCGTACTTAAGAATATTACATGCTTTGTTCAAGCAAGAGGACAAAAAGGTAATTTCTTTTTTTGATTCCTTATCTTCAGTGCCATCTCATTGCATCTCTAGCATGAAAATCAGAATAAGGATTTCAAAATGGTCTCCCTTTTTCAGCAATAAAATGGTCTATTTAAATGCAACATACTTAAGGTTTTGGAATGATTGTGTTTCCAATGATGTTTCGCCTGATCCGAACATGGTAACCAAGGCTGTGATCAATTAAGGTTATTTTGTGGTGTGCTGCGGGAGCTAGGAACCTCCTGAGGCCGGAGCCTACTCACTGTGTGTGTGGCAGGGGAGGGGGTGTGGGTGGGCACCGAGTTGTGTTGGTAGGTAGGTGTGGCAGTTTTCTGGGTCATCTCTTTCATGACCGGGGCACATCTGTTTCTGTTAAAAGTCTTGTAGGGAGTTAGGGGCTCTAACCTAACAAATTTCTCTTCTTTAGTAATGAAAGCGAAAGCGCTTATAGCGCAGTGGCTAAGGCTTGCAGTGCGCAGCCTGCCAACCTGGGTTAAAACTCGTGGATCACGCCGCTGTTTGTGCCCACCTCCTCGAGGACTGCAGCACCATGGTCTGCACGTCTGCGTAAGATAACAAAGCATGAGCCTGCCTGTACCTTCATGTTCCAGGGAAAGAAAGGACAAAATTCTCCTTATTACAATAATATGAACGAGTTTTAGTTAGAGGAAGATCTTCAGGTACAGTTGAGTTTAGCTTGAAATTGATGTAACCAAAACAAGGATACTCTACTTGAGATCAGCTTCTTAAAATGAACCTTACATGTCTGGTTACATAAGAAATCACAAAACTTCAGTTGTTATAGTTTTTTTCTCAAGAAATCACAAAACTAGCGCAATAGCTTGATCTTCTTGGAGAAAAGACTTCAATAGCATGACTTCATTTCTTGGCTCATGCTTTTGGATTTTATATGCATGAATGTGATATATGTTTACTTTGTTCAAATTTTTTCCTCATGTAGGTGGTGATCATGGTGTGAAAGCAAAAGGCGATGGATGGTTGTTAACGGTTGCTTTAATCGAGGGAATCAAATTGGCTCCAGTCGATGCTACTGGTTTCTCTGATCCTTATGTGGTATTTACTTGCAATGGCAAAACAAGAACAAGTTCAATCAAGTTCCAAACACTAGAGCCTCAGTGGAACGGTACACATTTTCTGGAACTGCTTCTGGCTTCTTCTTAAACCCTGTCATCTCCTACCATCACTGGGAAATTGTAATTTTGAACTGCACCAAATTTTAGTAGCATAGAAACATTACGTGTTTAGGTTTTCGAAAAAAAAAACATTACATGTTTTGTTATGTCATGCAACAGGCAACTAAACCTAGTTCATCAAATCTTGCAGAAATATTTGAATTTGACGCAATGGATGATCCACCGTCAGTGATGAGTGTACATGTATATGATTTTGATGGACCATTCGATGAAGTTACATCCCTTGGACATGCGGAAATTAACTTTGTAAAATCAAACTTGTCAGAGTTAGCTGATGTATGGATTTCTCTTAAAGGTAACCTTGCTCAGTCTTGGCAGTCCAAGTTGCATCTGAGGATTTTCTTGAACAACTCAAAGGGGACTGGCATGGTCACTGAGTATATGAGCAAAATGGAGAAAGAGGTCGGTAAGAAGGTGAGAGCTTCCATTCCTTTCTTCTAGGAAGTATACTGTTACTGCATGACTTTCCAGATCTGATTTTCACAACTTTTGACAGATGACGTTGAGGTCTCCTCGGACCAATACTGCATTCCAAGAACTCTTCTCTCTGCCAGCAGAAGAATTTCTCATCAGCAGTTTTACCTGCTACTTGAAGAGGAAATTGCCTACACAGGTAATCATTTGAATTTTTTTCTTACATAAATTATTAGAATTCATGATAAATACAAATGTATGTTTTGTGGTCCTTTTCGCTATGGAAGAATGCTGAGGGATAATACTTCATAAGTGTTTGTTTGAGCACATTTTCTGAACTATGAAAGATATAACAGCTGATTTATAATTTTATATTGAAAAGTAGAGAAAATTTCAGGAACATTTTCTTGCTGTCATATCAGTTGTGATTTCAAAAAAGAAACCAACTGAAGATGTAAGCCAGCAGTGTCTTGTGCATTGCTTTTATTTTTGGAAAGACATGCTCACATTGTTCCTTGGATGCTATGTGATTAGTATGTATGCGATTGCTTTTGTTTGATTTATTGGATCGACTTACTGTGTTCATGTGTCCTCAATGGTTCTGAATAGCTCACTATCTGTCCAGTCAACTGACAGACTCTTCTACTTTTAATTTCAGGGTCATCTTTTCTTATCTCCAAGAACAATTGGGTTTTATTCAAGCATGTTTGGGAGGAAAACAAAATTTTACTTTCTGTGGGAGGATATTGAAGACATACAGGGAATACCTCAATCAATATCATCATGGAGTCCATCCATTATAATAACTCTTCACAAAGGTAGAGGCATGGATGCAAAGCATGGTGCAAAGAGCATGGACAATGGAAAGCTTAAGTTCTGCTTGCAGTCTTTTGCATCATTTAGTGTGGCCAATAGGTAAGTGCCCCAGCTTTCTTAAACACATGGAATATGTGTCATATGGCTCTTATGAATCAAACTCTGGAAATAACTTGTGTCAGAACTAACAGTGCCTTGATTCTTGAAATATCTTTTTGCATGATTTATGTGGTTCTTGCCAGAATAAATATCATTTGTGCTCTACAGGACAATAATGGCATTATGGAAGGCAAGATCTTTGAGCACGGAGCTTAAAGTACAGCTTGCTGAAGAACAGTCCCAAATTAACACCCTTCAGAGTGAGGACAGTGGGGTTTTTGTTGGTATTGAGGATGCCAAGAGCCTTCAGATGACTGAAGTTTTCTCCTCAACCATTTCAACCAATGTAAGTTCAGTTGACTTGTACAGACCATGGCAAATCTAAATATACACCTGCAGTTCTGCACTTCTGCATGTTCATTAACTATCTATATTGTGGTCCATCGTAAGAGGCTGAAACTGACATTCATGTATCTCTTACCAGATGGCCTCGCTTATGGAGGTATTTGCAGGAGGATCTTTGGAAATGAAGGTGATGGAGAAAGTTGGATGCCAGAAATACTCGGCTACACAGTGGGAATCAGATAAGCCCAATGAGTATCAACGACAAATTCATTACAAGTTCAGCAAGAAGCTGTCTCCCGTTGGTGGAGAAGTCACAGGAACCCAGCAGAAATCTCCTATGCCCAATAAGAAAGGATGGATTATTGAAGAGGTGATGGAGCTCCAAGGAGTCCTTCTTGGCGACTTCTTTACGGTTTGTATACATATACCTGAATCTTCTTTCTCTCTGGCATTCTGGTAGAATTTGCATGCTCCACTTGTTGTGCTTGGAAAGTTCCTCCTTTCTTGTGTTGGATTATGACAGATTGTCTGTTTTCCACATATCACCTGGGAAGTGTAGTTGACCATGCCATTGCAAAACAGAACAAAAGCTTAAATAGGGACTAGGGAGGAGTAGTACAATCTAAATTTAAAACCACCTAGAGGAGATCAAGTCAAGAACATCTCTTTTTTTTCTCTCCATGTGGGAAACATGCGCCAACTTTTATTTTTACCTTATGCTGTTTAGACTAGACATGTTATTGTAATAGAAGGGCAACATCATTTAAACCAGCTTGTCAGAGTCTCCATGTTTTAACGAAAAGTCGAAGCCTGTTAGATGGAGTATTTTCAGCTTCTAAATTACTCGATGTAATGATCTTGAAACATAATAAAAGCTTCCTTTATCGAAAAAGAATGCTTGTTATTTGGTCAATTAGTCATTGGCATAATATTCCGTGATCCTGTGCTGTAAAATGGTCAAGGGGTAGCTATGTGGAGATAAAAAACAGCAGCATGTCCTTTCCTTTCTAATCATCATATGAAAGATCAAACTTTCTGCGCTGATTTTCTCCATACCAGCAGAAGAAAAGAAACACAGCACATCTGAATTCTGACCTGCTCTCCTCTCCTGTGTTTTGCAGCTCCACATAAAGTACCAGATCGAGGACCTCGCTCTTAAGCAAAGAGCGAGCAGTGTCCAAGTATCCCTGGGAATCGAGTGGTCAAAGAGCACGAGGCACCAGAAGCGAATCGAGAAGAACGTCTTTTCCAGTTCATCCGCTCGCCTGAAGGAGATGTTCAACCTGGCGTCGAGGGAGCTCTCGCACGCCAGATAGGTGGAGCAGCATGGCCTTTTGATGTCTCACCCACCGTCCCTGTGCATAACAACACTACCGGATCAGTGACTGAACATTAACATTCCCTGACTGTACATGGAAAGCTTGGCTGAAGATTGACAGACGATGACAACAACAACCGATTCTGATTCAGTGATTCATGTGTTGGAAGAAGAAGAAGAATAAAGTAGGCCGCTGTGGTCTAATTTTTGCGAGCTCAGTGTGTCCATCCTCCATCATTTTGGTTTTGTTGTACCTGATCGATCAAGCATAGCTGATGTCTGCACTGCAGCGTTTGTATACTAACTGGTGTACCACACATTGGTTCGTTCCAGAGCCAATAGCCATGAAATGTTACTTGGGATATTATTACAGAACAAGGTATAGGATAGCTCAATAGACAACGATGTAGCTGTATGTTCTGCTTGTTGCAAGTTGTTGTCTCTGTGATAGTAGTATGGATTGCCTCAGATGGGCTTTGAATTGAATTGAGTGATTCTTTGGTCACAACACATGTTGGAATTGTACAAACTACAAAGTCCACGTCCGAGAATAAGTGATGAAACAAAGCTGTTAAGTTCACAGCCTTATAAATTACAGGCAGAGGCAGGGAGCAGGCCTGAATCTGTTCATTCATGGCGGCGGTGGTTCAGTTGAACGCCGATCAGAAAGAAGAGGGGGCATTGCACTGTTATCCGGCCGGCGGAAGGAGACATGACACTGACACCTAACCGAAACCGCCAGAATCCCTGCTGCTGAGCATGAAAGGGACCAGACCAGCGGCACCAGCCCAGGTCCTCTTGTTGTCCAACCCGAGCGAAGCTGGACTGGTGCGGGGGTCACGGCGTCACGCCCATGCCCGAAGACGTCGCTGGTGCGGTGCCTGCCAATGCTGCCATTGATCTGCTTCGCTGGCCTCCGATCCAAGAAACCAACCGGTGAGGCTAGCTGCGGCGTGTGACCCGCCATAAACTAGGCAGGCGGTGGCTTTCAGCGGCGGCGGCTTGTCTGCTGCCCGCCAACGCCAAGCCCTTCGTCTCTGTCACGCAGATCAGATGCGTAATAAAAAAGAGAACAGAGGGAAATGGCGCGTCTCCCTCCTCGCCCAAAATATCAACCGTCGCCTCGCCTCGCCGCTAGAACATTCCTCCGTTTCATTATATTTTTTTGCCAAAAAAAGGTACTATCGTAGCGCTTTTTGGCCTTGCTCAGATCAAGGGGTAACTAACAACTAATTTCAGATTTCTTTTCTTAAATGCGTAAACAACTGCTGGATTTTATTTTTACTTTCATAGGAGTAGAATATACTTGTATAAATAAAGACAACAAAGAGGCATTTAAAGAGCTTCGAAAAAGCAAAAGGGACATCAGCTCTGTTGCAACCATTTTTTTTAATCTCTTCTTCTCATCTCTTCGCATTTTTCTTCCCAAAGGAAAGCCTGTACAATACAGACACTGCTGCGAGGTGCAGAGTGCTCCTACATCATCAGAGCACTCCGCCAGTATTTACAGTACAGCACCAAACACGAGCAACCAAGACGAGAAAAAGAAAAACACATGGGGAAAAGAAGAAGAGGAAGAGGAAGAAAAGGTACTAGTCCTAATCGAGAGCTAATCAGGTAATGGAGCCTCTCAATTCCTAGGCAGGCGGCAGGGCCACCGCCGCCCCGGTGGGCTGGACTGGAGATCCATCCGTCTGTCTCTAGAACCGGACGAGGCGGGGCTCCGGGACGGTCTGGCGGAGCTCGTCGTCTGCGGCGGGGAGGAGGCGGTGGCGGCAGAGCGGGCAGGTGGCGTGGTCGTAGTCGAGCCAGGTCTCGAGGCAGGCGCGGTGGAAGAGGTGTCCACAAGGGAGCCGGTTCACCACCGACTCCGGCTCGAACCGCACCAGGCACACGCGGCAGTCCGCCCCTCCCGAGCCCGCGCCACCGCCGCGGCGCCGCCCGAAGCGCGACGGCCGGAACCTGCTCCGGAACCGGTCCGCGAGGGTGGGCCCCACGGCCGTGACCGTCACCGACTGCTGCCGCTCCTCCTCCGCTTCCCACGGGGACGACGACGGCGCCGACACGCCCAGGAAGAGCAGCGCGGCGCGCACCAGCCCCGACAGGATCGCGACGGACGCCGCCGCGTTGTACAGCACGAACCCCAGCAGGCTGTCCTTGGGCGCCGGCATGCTCGAGATGCCCATCCTCGCGCGCCGCCGATCCCGATCCGTTGGATTGGGTGGGGTGGGGTGGGGAGAGGACTGGCGGCCCCGGGAGGGACCTCGGAACCCTGGTTGCAATTTGGGGGAGCGAGAGGGGAGGTGGGGTTGGGATTCAGCGGAAGGAGTTTGTGGGTGGTGGGGTGGGGGTACCTATTTATAGACGCCTACCGGGTTTTCCTGACGGTTTGTGGTGGTAAGTAAAAGACGCTGCTAGTACGCCACACTTGTTACCGTGGCAGCAAGCACGCCGTCGCCCAAGCCACTTGTGGTGTGATTGGGTTTGTTGTTTTGCACTCCCTCCTGATTTCAATGTATTTTCTTCGTACAACTCTTGCCATACTGCATCTACCTGTAGTAAGAAACTTGACAATAACCATGCTGTACGAACATTGTTCTTAGGGAAAATTGGTTTCATAGCATGAAAAGAATGCGAGATTCGAAAAATACCATCGAAAGTTCGTCGTATCATAAAACACCATTGAAAGTGAGTGTCCGTTCCGTAATCTAGCACTCTGTTACTTTTGCTGTCAACGCCGTCTGTTGGCATCCGTCCGAGGACTCCACTTGACTAAAAACGCCATGGGAGGACGTGGAGAACAACCTGTACGTCACATCAACCTGGGCAAGGCTCCTGCAGTGGTAGAGCCTCATCCCAGGGAGCTCGGAGCTCAAGCCCGACGCCTGTCCTTGACTCCGACTATGCCGTCGAGCAATCTAGCGTCGACGCCCTATGCCACCGGAGCCGCGCTCGCTCCGGTTCACCGAATGCCGCCGCCGCCGTGAGTTGCACAGACCACGACCGCCCTCTCGACTCGCCAATCTCGCAGCAGTTCGAGCGGGGGCCGACGGTGACGCCGGAGCTTCGACGCCACGGGCACTGGGCTCGTCTGCCGCCGCCACCGCTGCTGCCGCTGGAGCTCCCGCTACGAGCCAAGTGTGGTCGCGATGGAGCACCCACGCGTGTCGAAAGCCGACGCCACGCCAAAATTTCGTTCTTTTGGGGGGCTTTAATAATGGCCGCCGCCACCGCCGCCGGGAAGGGGCGAAAGCATTGTGATGAACGAGAGAAGCCGTATGGGCATCAATCAGCCATCTCCATCCTCTCCCATCCTCATGCGCTTTCAATTGGCGGCGAAAGCCGGCCATTGCATCGGCAAGCGAGCCATGCTGCGCGCAAGACGAAAGCACAGTGTCGCCACACAGTGCCAATCATCATGAAAAGCCAAGACCGCCTCGCCTCCGCCGTCGCTCGCGAGGAAGCTACCGAATTGGGAATCGCCGGAGCCGCCCTTGCCTTGACAGGTCGTGATCCGCCCTGTCAGCCACCACCATCTACGATCCAGCAATGGACCGGATCACCGGAGCCTGGTGCGTGGAGGTGAGAGTCTGAGGGACCTCGAGAGATGACAGGCCTTCAATGAGCGGAGGTTGGAGTGATTTTTTTTTTGCCTTTATTAGATGGACGGAGATCCACCGTGCTGACGCCGTTACCTCAGTACATGATGGAATGCTATTTTTAGGTAACAGTTCTATCTTTCGATGGTATTTCACGTAACGGAGTTTTTTTTAGTATTTTCCGATTTTTGCGATCTTTCAGTCTTATAGAAGCAATTTTCCCTTGTTCTTATCCAAACATGTAGTATAAATCATTGGAGTAATCCACCTTATGTCTTAGTTTAGATGCACATCTATCCACGTCGATCCACATGTATAGAGGTGGATTGGAGTGGAAATTAGTTTAAGTTCCACTCAAATCCACTTTCACACATATGGAGTGTGGTTGATACATGTGCATCCAAACAAGGCATCACTTGTTACTACACTACTCCCACCATTTCATAATATATACATGGCCTTTTGGCCAGGCTTCTCTTTGCCAATATTAGTGCTACATTTTTTTCCGATCAAACTCCACCATTATTATAACCGTGCAACCACACAATTAAATATTGAAACTACTAATCCCTTTATTCCAAATTATATGATGGTTTAGCTTTTTTAATATATTGTTTTTGCTTTATATTTAGACATAGTACACATAGTGTATGGCATCACAAAAAATTATGTATATAAAAAAACCAAAACATCTTATAAATTGAGATGGAGGGAATAGTTGCTACTGTCTACCTCCATTTTTGTGGAAGAAGAAGATGTAGAAAGAAGAAATGGAGGAAGAAAAAAAGGAAAGAATAAAGCAGAGCAGGAAGCAAACCTCCCCTACCTTTCCAGGTTGCATCCGCACTTGTTGCTGCCATCTCCTTCCTCCAACTTAGATAGCCAAACTAGCACGAATTTTGACTGTCGCTTTTTTACTCATGAACTTCTACAGCTACGCGAAGGAAGATATATTTTGTTTGGAAACTCAAAATTTGAATGAGGGCGTATGTCCCCGCTCCTTGAGGAGGAGAAAATGTTAGGACACCTCTATGTACATCCAAATAGTATCTAATTAATTCTAGCACCTCAGCTTCCTCTGTTCTAAAAAGAAAGTAAATATTGCTTCCCCGTGTAGTCAAACAATATTAATATCTACGATACTACTAAGTACTCCCTCCATCCGGGAAAGCTTACAGGCCCCGTTCGTCTTACCATAAATCTGTCTTGTTCGGCATCTTTTTTCAGCTGGAACAATGTTTTTCTTTCATAGCATTTCAGCCATAACAGTGTTTTTCAGCCAAGTTTCAGCAAGCCGAACGGGGCCTGTGCTTCTCGAGGCAAACTTAGCAGAGCTGAAAAATGTGCCTGTTACCCCTACTCTGGGACACGTCCTATCACCTGCGGCTATTTTTCATTTGCTTCAAACTAGTACTCTGGGGTAAGCACGGTCAGTTTGTGGACAGAAATGAATAAGAGTACAAGTGGGTGTAGGATCTCTGGTTAGCTTAGAGGGGATGAATAGGTCTGTCAAAACAAAAACTCAAACTTTTATCAAATTCAACCTGCGGCACTGCCGCTCTGACCTAGCGGCACTGTTGGGCCAGAACAGCGGCACTGCCGCACCTATAGACAATTTTGAGTCATAGTTCAAAATCAGTGAATGTAAACTTGAATCGGAAAATTTTTTTAGCTTCCTGCAGGTATGAGATTCACAGATCGAGAGCTAGAAGTGGTAAGAACACAACACACAAGTAGATCGACCACAAACCCTAGAAATCACATCAACAACAATATAAAATGCAAATAATATAAATCAAGCACAAGGTGACACGATGATTTAACCCGTGGTTCAGCTCGCCACCAAGGCTTGCCTACGTCCAAGTTGTTAAGGTTAGCCACTAAGGCTTAGGGCTTTGCAACCCTTCCTCGTTCTTAAGTCAAGAGATCCAACTCTTGAGATGAGAGGTGAGTTTACTAGCTTCAAGAGGTAGTTACAAACCTCGCGGGTCTGCCACATAAGTTGGCAAGCTTCACGGGCGACGCTCTAGCCGGCTAGGAGCAAAGCTCCAAGAGTAATAAACACAACCGCCAGCCAAAACATGAACCAAGTGCTCTTTTGAGTTGGGGAATCAAATGATCTGTTCTCTAATCGAGTTTGGGATCTTTTTCTCTCAAGGATTGATGGGGAAATCAAAGAAATGCTTGGGAGCTCAAGGTCACCAATGAAAGAGAGAGAGAAGGGCACTCTTCTGTTCTTGGACGAGCTGAATGAGTGAGAGAAAAGAAGAGAGACGTTGGGGAGGAAGGGGAAAGGTATAAGTATCCCCTAGCCCCAACGATCACTTAAGTCGCGGCAGTGCCTCTCTCCAGGTGCGGCACTACCGCACTAGGCAAGACAGCAAGGGTAAGAGTGAAGTGTTGGCTGTCTTGGCTGAGTAACTGAGGATGTATGTGTAAGATTGAGCACTTGGTAGCACATGTTAGCTTAAGCATTGTGTCCCCCTTTATAGTATGGCTTTTCTTATACTCAAATTTAAAATATAAAATAATTTAAATCTCATTTGAGTTTGAAGCCATCAACATTTGTAATTGGGGGCTCCTCCGTTTCGTGTAACATCCTCGAACATAGATTCCCTACTTGTTATCTCGATAAATCTCATTAATTCTCTAATTACGTGGTTATTATCATTAAAACCCATAATTATGGTTTGATTGCACCTTCAGGGACCTGTTGTCTAGCTACTCTATGAAGCTATAGTTACATTCTTTGCCGGACATGGTATGAAGACTAGAATTACATGCTTATCCAGACAGAGGGAGTATCACTGTATTAATCATGAAATATTCTTTTATAATAATTAAATCTATTTAAAGATATAAATATCAATAGTATTTTCTATAAATATCAATATATATGGTATTTTCTATAAAGGACCAAGTAGTATGTTGTTGCGCCAATTTGTGTAGAGCCTTGTTTAGATTGCAATTTTTTGCAATCTGGACACGGTAGCACGTTTCGTTTCTATTTGACAAATTTTGTCCGATCATGGACTAACTAGGCTCAAAAAATTCGTCTCGTGATTTACAACAAAACTGTGTAATTAGTTATTTTTTTACCTACATTTAATGCTCCATGCATGCGTCCAAAAATTGATGTGATGAAGAGAGAGTGAAAAAACTTAAAATTTTGAGGCAATCTAAACAAGGCCTAGCCATGTCGTGCCGTGGCTACTATCATATGAGCTGGTCAAAATGGTCCAGAGCATGACGGTAACGGTAATCAAAAAAAAAAAGAAAGGGAGAGAGAAATAATTAGAGCATGCATTGTTTACTGATTTGTTATAAGAAAAAAATATTATTTATTAGCTGAATAAAGTACAACTTATAAGAAGGGCGAAGATCGTGGCAGGGCTGATGGAGACCAGACACCGGCTAAAGGCCCGCAGCAGGAAACCATTTAAAGCGCTGATGTAAATTGTTGATATTTAAGTGAGACGTGTCATCAGCTGTCACACTAGTAACGACGGCGCGTTTTCCTTCCTTCCTTCCCCAAGCTCCATCAGCAGTGCTACACAAGCACGAATGCCATGGCCATCCACGTTTGA